TTGCAGAGAGTCAGACACGACTGAGTGGCTGAACTGAACAAAGCAAAGAAGGTATAAGCTCAAATCCAGGAGAAAGCTATACCTTCAAACTCCTGGGCAGGAAAGACCACGAACAACAATTGGTTTGACTGTGGATACCACACCTGTTTGCTCACCAACCCTGGAGCTGCTGGGCATCTTCTCTGGGCCTTGTACAGGCCACCAAAATGTTGGCCTGAAACAAATACACTGCTAGCTCTCTCTCCAGCGAAGGTGGATTTGTTTGGGATCAGGAGAAAACTGCAGTTTAGGGTTTGTAAACTCGGAGAGCTGCAGAGAACTCCCCAGACAGCAAGGGAAGGAAAACTTGTAAAGAGGAAAAGAAAGTTGAAGCGCTGTAGCAAACAGAGTCCGTGGCTTTCCATCAGCCGGGCCATTGCCAGGACAGAAGTCTCTCTTCCTGTTTGTTGGGCTCTGCCACTGTCACAGGGCATGAATGCTCCCCGTTCTGGTTTCCCAACTCTATGTAATTGAGATTTCTGTTAATATTTTACAAAAGCATAGTGTGATTCTTCTGATCAAATAATATGAAAATTAAAGGACAGCAAGAGACTGGGATTCATCAGCACTTCACTCTTCCCTTATTCCACAATCATTTCAGCACCAAGTTATTGGTCAGATATTGTCTGCAAAACCTTCCACTTGAAGGTGGATTTTTTTTTCTTACGTGTCTGAACAGTCTTCAAGCCCTACTGCTGCTGCTGCTAAGTCCTCTGACACCTTGATCTTGGACTTCTTAGTCTCTAGAATTATGAAAGAAATTACTTCTATTGTTTAAGCCACCCGGTCTGTGGTACTTTGTTCTGGAAGCCCTAGCAAACTCATACGACAGGGAATTCTCAGGTATGACTATTCTCCCTCGCGGGAGCTCTTTCCCAAAACAGGTTCGTATGCCTTGGTATAATTTACTTAAGAGCAATAGACAACATTCACACACTATTACCCTTATCTGCCTCCTTTAAGATAGAAAAATGGCTCAGTCGGGGTATCAGTTGGTGTCTTTGACCCTATTTCAGTCAGCATCTAGCAAGAAACATAACACATCGCTAGTACACTATTTGTCTTTAAGGTTCAATAAGGCAGGTGGAAGGGACTTCCTTGGGACTTTGTGCTTCGAATGCAGGGAGCACGGTTTGGATCTCTGGTCAGGGAACTAACAGCCCGTACACCACATGGCAGGGCCAAAAACTAAAGCAAGGGGAAGAGAAAGCATGGCTCTCATGACTACCCCGAGGTCTTAACACAACAGTTCAGTTCGGTTCAGTCACTCAGTCGTGTCAGACTCTGCAACCCTGTGGACTGCAGCACGCCAGGCCTCCTTGTCCATCACCAAACTCCTGGAGTTTACTCAAACTCATGCCCATTGAGTTGGTGAGGCCATCTGACCGTCTCATCCTCCGTCGTCCCCTTCTCCTCCTGCCTTCAACCCTTCCCAGCATCAGGGTCTCTTCAAACGAGTCAGTTCTTCTCATCAGGTGGCCAAAGTATTGGACTTTCAGCTTCAGCATCAGTCCTTCCACAACAGTGTTAAGGAGAAGCTGATTCTCATTGTCAGTGCCCTCTTCCATCCCCTCAGTGTTCCCATCTCTTTCCCTCCACCAGCATTTGACTCACCCAGGGCACTCAGTATTGGGCGCAGCCAGTGTAGCAATCCTGCTGCTGCTAACTTCAGTCGTGTCAGACTCTGTGCAACCCCATAGACGGCAGCCCACCAGGCACCCCCGTCCCTGGGATTCTCCAGGCAAGAACACTGGAGTGGGCTGCCATTTCCTTCTCCAATGCATTAAAGTGAAAAGTGAAAGTGAAGTTGCTCAGTCATGTCCGACTCTTAGCGACCTCATGGACTGTAGCCCACCAGGCTCCTCCGTCCACGGGATTTTCCAGGCAAGAATACTGGAGTGGGTTGCCATTGCCTTCTCCATATAGCCATTCTAAATGGGTGTAAATGGTATTTCAACATGGTTTTGATTTGTATTTCTCTAATGGCTCATGACTAGAAAAGCCTAATTAAGGAGTTCAACCTGTTCTCCATTGAAACATAATACGCTTGTGTTCTAATCAATGACCTTCCCTTCCCTCCCTGGGTTGGAGCCGCTGAGTAACACCTTGGCCAGGTTGCATACAATTCCTGTCATTCTAAATTACACTGAAGCCACCTGTTTTGGATATTTAAAAGCTAGTGTTACTAATATTAAAGGTACAATCTCAAATATAATTCAAAATGGATTTCTTCCCCTTTTAACACTCACTACATAAGACTACGACTCTGGGAAGTGAGGTCTCATTCCATATACCTTCCCCATGGCTTCTCTCTTCAAATTCTTTCCCTTCCCTTGGGTTGTGTCCAAAGCCCAACCAGTTCTCAGCCTTGACTGCACATTGGGAAAACTACCAACACCTGGGTCCACCCCGAAAGCCCCTGGTTTAATTGCTCTGGGGGAGGCCTGGATATAAGGATGTTGAAAAGCTCCTGGGGTGACTCCAATATGAATTCGAGGCTGAGAACCATGGCCATAGACTCTGACACTTCAAGGAGACTGGGGAGGAAGGCAGGTGCTGTAAGTCACTGGTTGTGGGGAGGCAACCTGGGCTGACTTCTCCTCATCCTTCCTGATGCTGCTGGGATCTATTGGTATGAGGGATCTGTGCACTTATACTGTTTTTTCAGGAGGGGTGCAGATGCGGGATTAGCTTAATCTCAACCCTATCCCCCAGTGCTGGGTCCCCACCCAATGGTATATGCCCTCTAACCCTATCTCTGGGAAGGGCATCGAATGACTTGACTGCTACCTTCACCACCTTCCTCTTCCACATGAACTAATTCTCTTTAGCATACTTTAAGGGTCACAAAGAACTGGAATGACATGAGTGTGCTCCCAACTTTTTCCCAAGTGATACTGAGCAGGATCCTGTGAGGCTCCTGGGCACAAAGTTTTTCTGTGTCCCCATTTCTTTGATTACAGGGAACAGCCTTCATTTAGCCTCCATGACCTTCCCTGACTTTCAATTCAAGCAGTTGTTAATTTGAAAAGGGAGGGGATCCCAGGTGGTGTTAGTGGTAAATAACCTGCTTGCCAATGCAGGAGATGTAAGAAAGAGGTGTGGATTTGATCACTGGGTGGGGGAGATCCCCTGGAGGAGGAAATGGCAACCCACTCTGGTATTCTTGCCTAGAGAATCCCATGGACAGGGGAGCCTGGCAGGCTATAGTCCATGGGATCACATAGAGTCAGACCTGACTGAAGTGACTTAGCATGGACAGGGGTTCAAGACCAGGGAGAAATAGTCAAGAGTAGCCTGAGCCTAGGTCCTGTTTCCTCTTCAACAATTACATACAACAATATCTTTAAGCTGTTTTGCAGCTACTGAAACCCACTCCAGGTGGAAGAAGTTAACAATTAATGATGGTATGCTGCATCCAAACACACAGACCCCAGACCTGTCAGGCCTGAAGGCTGATGATGCTGACTCCTACTTACCTTACCTCAAACCCATTAGAAGAATGACCATAAGCTGATCACAGCCTCTCTGAACAATTACTATAAAACATCTCACTGTCTTCCCCATGTTGGGACACGTGATTCTGAGGGTATTAGCCTCAAAACAAGGCATGTTTTAAACAAGGCATGTATCAACTTTCTGTCCCCAGGGCTCACTAATCATTTACAGAGTGTTGACAGATATTTGAACCAGGGGTCAAGGTGAACATCCCCAGTTACATAACAAAAATATATAAAGTCTTGCATAATCAGTTGTGTGTGCGTTTTAGAAAATTTGTGTAAACTTCTCTGCCGTGGTAACCCAGAGCAAGGGATGCTTTTCACATTTTAACAAGATGAAGGTACTCACTGCAGCACTGTTGTCCATCCTTCTGATCACACAGCAGTGTTCGTGTGCTGTGAATCCCACAGGCTGCGATGCTGTTGAGCCTGTGGCTGCAAAAGCTCTGGACCTGATCAATAAAGGACGGTGGGATGGCTACCTTTTCCAGTTGCTGCGGGTCGCTGATGCCCACTTGGACAAAGTGGTGAGGAGCCTCCCATGGCAGAGCTGAATGGGGCGGTGATGGACCAGGGCCAAAGGAGACACTAGCTCCTAAGCCTGCCACTTTGCACAATGGATTGGCTTTGTTCAGGGTTGTTGGTTTCATTTCTGGGCTGCTCTGTGCTGTACTGTGTTCAGTCATGTCTGACTCTTTTCGACCCCGTGGACTGTAGCTCGCCAGGCCCCTATGTCCATGGGACTTCCCAATTAAGAATACTGGAGTGGGTTGCCATTTCCTCCTCCAGGGGATCTTCACCACCCAGGGATAGAACCCATGTCTCTTGTGTCTCCTGTATTGGCAGGCAGATTCTTTACCACTGTGCTACCTGGGAAGCCCTCAGGGCTGCTCTAACTGTAGGCTATAGTCCATGGGATCACATAGAGTCAGACCTGACTGAAGTGACTTAGCATGGACAGGGGTTCAAGACCAGGGAGAAATAGTCAAGAGTAGCCTGAGCCTAGGTCCTGTTTCCTCTTCAACAATTACATACAACAATATCTTTAAGCTGTTTTGCAGCTACTGAAACCCACTCCAGGTGGAAGAAGTTAACAATTAATGATGGTATGCTGCATCCAAACACACAGACCCCAGACCTGTCAGGCCTGAAGGCTGATGATGCTGACTCCTACTTACCTTACCTCAAACCCATTAGAAGAATGACCATAAGCTGATCACAGCCTCTCTGAACAATTACTATAAAACATCTCACTGTCTTCCCCATGTTGGGACACGTGATTCTGAGGGTATTAGCCTCAAAACGAGGCATGTTTTAAACAAGGCATGTATCAACTTTCTGTCCCCAGGGCTCACTAATCATTTACAGAGTGTTGACAGATATTTGAACCAGGGGTCAAGGTGAACATCCCCAGTTACATAACAAAAATATATAAAGTCTTGCATAATCAGTTGTGTGTGCGTTTTAGAAAATTTGTGTAAACTTCTCTGCCGTGGTAACCCAGAGCAAGGGATGCTTTTCACATTTTAACAAGATGAAGGTACTCACTGCAGCACTGTTGTCCATCCTTCTGATCACACAGCAGTGTTCGTGTGCTGTGAATCCCACAGGCTGCGATGCTGTTGAGCCTGTGGCTGCAAAAGCTCTGGACCTGATCAATAAAGGACGGTGGGATGGCTACCTTTTCCAGTTGCTGCGGGTCGCTGATGCCCACTTGGACAAAGTGGTGAGGAGCCTCCCATGGCAGAGCTGAATGGGGCGGTGATGGACCAGGGCCAAAGGAGACACTAGCTCCTAAGCCTGCCACTTTGCACAATGGATTGGCTTTGTTCAGGGTTGTTGGTTTCATTTCTGGGCTGCTCTGTGCTGTACTGTGTTCAGTCATGTCTGACTCTTTTTGACCCCGTGGACTGTAGCTCGCCAGGCCCCTATGTCCATGGGACTTCCCAATTAAGAATACTGGAGTGGGTTGCCATTTCCTCCTCCAGGGGATCTTCACCACCCAGGGATAGAACCCATGTCTCTTGTGTCTCCTGTATTGGCAGGCAGATTCTTTACCACTGTGCTACCTGGGAAGCCCTCAGGGCTGCTCTAACTGTCCTTTTATCCTTTGAATTAATATTTGTTACTAGTATGTCCTGGACTTCCCAGGTGGCACTAATGGTAAAGAACCCTCATGCCAATGCAGGAGACATAGAGGACGTGGGTTTGATCTCTGGGTCGGGAAGATCCCCTGGAAGAGGGCATGTCAACCCACTCCAGTATTCTTGCCTGGAAAATCCCATGATAGAGGAACCTGTTGGGCTATAGTCCATGTGGTCACAAAGAGTTGGACATGACTGAAGCTACTAAGCACAGTCATTATGTCCTTGATCAGCCTCTAAATACTTACAAGAACTTATGCAGAGCCCAATCCATGGCTAAGTGCTATAAGAGAAAAATTATAATAAACTATGGGCCTTGCTCTCAAGGAAATAATCATCAGCTCTCATATACACATAGATGAACTGGGTAAGATGGGATACACTCAGGTGACTAAGTGAGTGGAATAAATGCTGGAGGGATCAAATAGAAGATCAATTATCATGGATGGGAGAAGGCTTCATTTGGATCCTGAAGAATGAGCAGTATTTGAATAACATAATGGCTTGGATAATGGCCTTCTAGGAGAATTCCTGGTATACCATCTCTATGTGTGTAGGGAATCTGGAAGGAAGGTATGGAGAAACAGACAAAGGCAGAGGGGTTCCAGAGGTTCTCTGTGGGTTTTGGAACAGCCATCATCTTGGAAGAGAGACATTCCTTAAGCCAAAGACTAAGGCAATAAATAATGGCATCTCTGATTAGACAAAGGAGGTAGAGGGAGAGTGAATTGAACTTAGGGCAAGTTGAAATCAAGACAAGAAATCTGGGATTCCCCTGATGGTCCAGTGGTTAGGACTCCGAGTTTCCACTGTAAGGGGAACAGGTTTGATCCCTGGTCAGGGAACTAGCATCCCACATGCTGCCAAAGGAAAAATAAAAGAGTAAATCTATTTTAAAAAAAAACAAAACAAGAAGCCCAAGTTCAGGAACAGAACTGGATGAGAGGACACAGCTGTACATATAGAATGGAAGCCATAATACAGCTGTCATCACTTATATTCTAGTCTTGTACCTTCAATACTTCCACCCAAACCAACACTGCCTTTTTGTGACTGCCTTTTAAAATTCATGGGCAGAAGCAACATTATGACCAGTTAAAAACTCTCTGATGCTTTTTATTAAATAAACAGATCAAATGATATAAAGGTAGGGCACCTGCAATGACTTGTAGAATGACTTATAGAGAGGAGTAGAATGACAGGAATTCTATTTAAGAAATAAAGAGCTTATTTTTATTGGAAAACTCTGGGTTTCCACATACCACCCAGCCATTGCTTTCTTGGCATTCCCCAGGAATCCACAACTGTCTACTATTTAGTCTTGGATGTGAAAGAATCTGACTGTCCAGTCCTGTCCAGGAAGCACTGGGATGACTGTGAGCCAGATGTTTCTCGCCGTCCATCTGAAATAGTACGTAAACCGGGTGCCATTCCTCTCCTCTTAGCATTCCTGACTTCTATCAATAGATAGAAGCAGAAATATCTTCTTGCCTAGGGTGGTTGCACACCTGTGCTTACACAGTAAAACAATAAGAACAAAACTTCTGCCTCATGGCTTATAAGGATTATGGTGACTTCGAGTAATATTCTCTTGAGAGCCATACCGGGAAACCAGTTCAAGAAAAGTCAGTGGGGCTTAGGGTCCCATGTCATAGCATGACCGGCTAGGAGACCTTGGGCAAATCACCTAATGTCTAAGAACCTCTGAACCTGTAACAGTGAATACTGGCCTCCCTAACAGAAATGGCCAAAGGGATTAGTTGCAGTCACCATGAGGAATAGAGTCTTGTTCTGCACATTGCACATGGATTCTCAGAGCCCAGGTTCTCTGCCACAGAGGAAGATGCAAAGATAAATCAGCAAAGATATAAGATTTCAGTTCCAGAAAATAAGATGACTACATATCCAGCAGTTTTAGCCTTTTTTTCCCTTGAAAATGTTTGGGATATCGCCATGATCTCTTTCAACACTTTCTCTGTGGTTCTCATGAGGGTTTTGGATGCTTGTAGCATATCCAGCTCACAGGACTATGCTAAGAAAATACAGGTTTTTGAGAGAGGGTATGGTGAGAGGAAGCACAATAATTTCAAATGGGTAGTAGGAGCATGCTGCCTCATGTTTTTGTTCCCTCGGGTCAACCTAAGGAAAGAAGTAGGTGATAAAATAAACCTCTCTTTCTTACAGGTGATTGGACAATGTAAGGTAATCGCTATAACACATCTGGCTGGAGCTGAAGATCTTAGAGTGAATGACTTTAACTGCACCACAAGTTCTGGTATGATTGTCTGTTAAAATGCTAATTAATTCTAGGTTCATACAAAATTCAATCAAACAGTGGTACTCATCATCGAAGTCTATGAAGTATGTATCAGAAATGGTTCCTGCCCTTGTGGATGCAATTATTACTTGCTCTCTTGAGAAGAGAAGAGAGGTTTTTCGCTCTTACTGGCACATCTTCTTTTACAGAAATTCAACATCTAAAAACAGACATTTACAAAGGGCTGCATGACATCATTGTAGAGAACATAGGCTCTGGGGTCCAATTTGAGTTTGAACCCCAACCTCAACACTTACTAGTTTTATGGTCTTAAGGGCAAGTTACTTCTTCAAGCTTTCCTCCTTTGTAAAATGAGGATAACAATAATATTAACCCTTCAGGTTCTTCCCAGAATTAAATAGATAGCCTGTGTGGTACACTTTGCAAAGTACTTAGTGTTCAAGTATTGACTTCAACAACTGAAAGTTATGTATGTTCACAAAGCAGTTATACATATATTAACGTGTTTAATCTCACAAGACTATGAAGTAAAGATTGTGATACTTTCTATTTTAGATACAAAATAAGCCTCAAGGAGATTCAATGACCCAGCCTGGGGAACAGAGCCAAAGTGTGGCAAAGACATGACCCTATTCCACTGGCGCTGACTCTAAATTACACATCTTTTAAATTCATCTTTTCAAAAGAATGATCACAGAATGTCTTTTAAAATAATTAATCTTAACATGGTTCAATATATAAAAATTCGACAATCAAGCAACTCCCTCACAAGGTTGTCATAAAGAAAGATTGAGCTGCATCTTCTCTCTCTGGGAAAAATTTTGTGTTAACGATGCCTCTCTCCTTGGCAGAGACAGGGAAGAGTTCATTAAAATATTAGCACTTTATGAGTGATGGGTTGTCATGAATAGGGGTCACAACAGAGACTTGAGCATTAGAAGGATCTGGGTTTAAGTTTAGCTCTGCCACTGATTGACTGACTTGATCTTGGACAAGTTACCTCTCCAACCCTCAATTTCCATCTGTAAAACGGAAGCTATTGTTATCCTTGCCATCACGATTACATGTATCAAGTCCCAACACAGACATTACTGCTTCCAACTCAGTAACCGCAAAACTGCCACTTTCTTTCTCCAGTCTCTTCGGCACTGGCCAATACAATAGACAGCCCCGTGCACTTTGATTTCTTTGAGGATACTGAGCTCTACAGAAAACAAGCTGACAAAGCCCTGGAGAAGTACAAAAGGGAGAACAGTGACTTTGCTCCTTTCAGAGTGGACAAAGTGAAGAGGGCTATAAGAGCGGTGAGTCTCCTCTAATGTTTAGCTAGCATTGAGGGCCCAGGGTCCAACGCAGCAGGTGTGAGCTTAGCAGCCCTGAGCCTCTTTGCTGCCCTCAGTCGACCTTTTAATTTGGGGCCTTTTAAATTGAGGCTCCCTCTTCAGTTCTTTGGCTTTTGGGGTTGTGGGTATATGTGTGTGAATACTGAACAGAGAAAAGGAAAAACCCAAACAAGGAAGAGGGAAAGACAGGAGAGAATAATAAAACTTATGTGAGTCATTAAAATCATCTGATCCTAATCTCCTGTATTATGATGGAAACCAGAGACTTAGCACCCACCTTACCACTCGTAGTGGTGTGGCTGGAGTGAGACAGTTCTGCCTCCCAGCCCAAGGACCTCAGTGCTTCCCGTCCAAGCTAGCCTTGCACAGAGGCTGGTTGATGTCGGTCATGCATTCTGTAAATGCAGTTAAATAGATTATGGTGCATGCAAACAATGGAATGAATACACCCCAATTAATGAAAACAACATTTTGAATGTTTATGCACTGGAAAGAGTTTCAAGATATATTGCTAATGGAAAAAGCAGGTTACAGAACAATACTTAAGACTATGATCCCATTTATGTTAAATAATTAGATATATGTGTATATGAGCAACATATTTAGGAAAAGGCTTGACGGAAAACTCCATCAAGTGGATGATAGTGGTACCTCTGAGAATGGGAGGCACAAAGGTTGATTTTTCACACTACCCTTAATTATATGTATTAATTGAAACTTTCAATGAAATAGAAACCTTATCACTTATGTGATAAGTTTTTTAAAGGCAGAGACCATCAGAAATATGGTGCATATTGGAGATTTCGAATCCTCATAGTACTTTATAGTATGTTGGAAAGTAAGCATCTACCACTTTTTTTTAACTTTTTATGTTCTTGAAACTGCTGGATCCAATTTGTTCTAGAGAGGAGGGGAAGGCACTGGTTACTTCCTGGACTTCTCTGTGAGGAACTGTTCCAGTCACCACTTTCCCAGACACTCTCATGTGAGTATAATCAGTGTCTGTGAAATGCTAGGTAACATTCAGAAACCACTTACTATGTCCCAGGCATCCTTCTAAGTGCTTTACATATGTTGCCTTATTAACTCACTGCTGCCCTACGAAGTAGATACTATTTTTATTCCTGATTTACAGATGGGGAAACTAAGGCACAGAGCAGTTAAGTGAATCATGAGAGTATCACATATATTATAAAATTTTACATGTTCTTTACCTACACTTAGCATTGGATTTTTTTTTACCCACTAGGATTAAACACTTAACTAATACAAATAACTAGCTTGTATTAAGAACTGATACCCAACAGTGCTGTCACTCACGTCACCTCATTTCCACCTCACAGTGACTCCCTCTGACAAAGAGGTAACTGAGGCTCAGCAAAGGGTCCTGCCTGATGTTCACAACCAAGCTGAGGTTAGAATCCAGTCTTCCTGATGCTCAATCAAAGGGATTGTTCCCCTGGTCACTTATCCTTTGATACTCAAGTATCTGCAAGATCTCCTTGTTTTCTGGCATATCTTACCCTCCTCAGGACACAACTTAATGACTAAACAACTACAACCCTGATTTTTCTGAAGCCTCTTTTCCTTTCCCAAATGTCTGGGAGTTCACAGCAAAGCTGGATACCTTCCTACCACCTGTGCATACACACTCAAACACACACACCCTAACAGGTTTATCTCTTCTTTACAGATCTTTGGATTCTGCAGAGCAGATTTGTTCTATGACGTGGAAGCCTCTGACTTGGAAACCCCAAAAAACATTGTCACAAACTGTGAAGTCTTCAACCTTAAGGTGGGTTGCTTAAGTAGCCTTTGTCATGATCAGTGCCAAACTAGGTGATATTTTCACACACAGCATATATTGTTCTTATGGTTGTTGATGTGTTTTGTGTGAGAGAGAGAGAGAGAGAGAGAGACAGAGACAGAAGAGGGAGAAAGAGAGATGGTGGGTGAGGGAGTAGGGATGACAAGGAGGAGAAACACAGAGAGAACAGGGAAAGTACAATTGGCACAGTACAAATTGCTAATATGACACAAAAAATATGGAGTTTTTTTCCCCCAAGAAGAGAAGGGTAAGATTTGCCGGAAAAGTAAAATTATGATTAATTCAACCAACCTCTAATGAATTGAAACTGGCTCTTGTAGTCAGGACTCCAGTGCTGACACTTAATTTCCAGCTTTCAATATTAGGCATAGAACCTAAAAAATGAATGAGGCTAAAATCTACTATATAAAGGTGTATGGACTAAGACTCAAAACAGTATTTTACATAAGTCCCAGAAAGTTTTTATTCGATATCAAGATATTCTTCACAGTGTTTTTTATACCAGAAAACAAACAAACAAACCTGACCATAATCCAAGTGCCCATGTACCAGTACCACCCCAAATGGAGGGGGCAGGCTTGTCACCATGAACATGGCTCCACAGATTTCTTAAAAATTAAAATCTGAACAAGGAAAAGTACACAGAGGTAGGTGATCATTCTTTAGGAGTAGGAGATGTTTGTACCATAAAACCTGACCCTCACTGAGAATATAAATTATAAGGCATTAATTTTCCAAAGGTTGATCTATATAGATAAGCATCATTTTATAGTATAATTTTATCAGTTTATATTGAGATGGGAAGAATAATAATGAGTGTTTTCACAATATAACATTTATTTCATCTAAAGGACTACCCTTTACCCTGAGATTAAGTTTCTGACTCTGACAAGAGTCAGAAAATAACAAAAATATTAAAATAATCAAATGTTATTTGATTATTAAAATATTTCTATTGTAAAATAATGATGGTAGTAAATGGCAGTTTTGTTTGCATTTTGATTTTGTTTGTTTGTATTTTGAATGTGAGTTGGCTAGAGAAGAATTTGAGAAATCCTTTTTTGATGCCCTAATTTTAAAAATAGTTGTGGAATCTAAAAATCTAGATGCCATTGACATAAATTAAATTAAACATCTAGCTTCTTTTTGTGTTACATGATGATATCCACTTTTCTGTTTCCATCATTAGGAACATAGAAACTTCAGTGGTGTGCAACATCATTTGGGCCGTCCCTTCCACCCTGGTGAGCATGAGCATTCTGGAAGGCCTCCATTTAAGCCCAGGGGATCTAAAGATCATGGTCATCCCCATGAGTCACATGACTTTAGATGCCCACCTCCTCCAGAACACAAAAATCACTCAGACAATCCACCATTTCAAGCAAGGGTTCCTCTACCATTTCCCCCTCCAGGGTTAAGATGTCCTCACCCTCCCTTTGGCCCCAAGTGGAACCACGGGCCCCCTCATAACCCTAGTTCTGATGAGCACCACCCCCATGGACACCACCCCCATGGACATCATCCTCATGGACACCACCCCCATGGACATCATCCTCATGGACACCACCCCCATGGACATCATCCTCATGGACACCACCCCCATGGACATCATCCCCATGGACACCACCCCCATGGACATCATCCTCATGGACACCACCCCCATGGACATCATCCCCATGATTTCTATGACCATGGACCCTGTGACCCACCACCACATAGCCAAGGTCCCCAAGACCACCATCGCCGAGGCCGTGGCCCACCACCTAGGCACCCCAAAGAAAGAGGTCCAGGTGACGGACACTTTCGCTTCCACTGGAGACCAACTGGATATATTCACAGACTTCCTTCACTAAAGAAAGGTGAAGTTCTCACTCTTCCAGAAGCCAATTTTCCCAGCTTCTCATTGCCAAACCACAATAATCCCCTACAACCAGAGATTCAGGCCTTCCCTGAGTCAGCCTCTGAATCATGTCCCGGGACATTCAACACTGAATTTCTACATATCTCAAAGTTTTTTGCATATACATTGCCAAAATAAAATCTGATTTCCTTGATGGGGAAAAATGAATCATGTCCTGAATGAGAACCAGAAATAAAAATGTGACCAGTAATGCAAAATTGCAAAATTACAAGTTATTATAACCTTATTTTCATACTCAAGATAGGGCAAAATATGGGTACGGGAGGAAATAGCATAAGAATAGACAGACTAAAGGAAAGGAGAGGAAAGACATCAGTGCTACAGATTGGAAGTTAAGTCCGTCACTGGCTACTATATCACTTGAGGCAAATCTCTGACCCTCAAAATTTCTTTCTTTCTTGGATTAAATTCCTTTAATTCTGGCATCTTTCCTCTGCTGGTACTTATGCTGAGGCTGGACCTACCAAGAAGGAATTTACTATCACTAAAAGGATTGCTCTTATAAAAGTGACCCAAATTCTCTTCCACTTGTTATCCAGTCCCCTAAATTTCCTTTTGGGAAAACGAATTCTCAATTCAATTATTAAGGAAACAAAGCTCATGCTATAAATTAAAAAAAAAAAAGGCTGCAAGCATGAATCGTGACCATAAATTCAAGTGCACAAAAAATACAACTTTATTTTTGGAATAAATTAATTTCTGTTTTAAGTTGCCATCCTAACTGAGCTAATGGGAAATTTGACCTCAGGCCTTCTTGGACTTTCTGTTACTCCCTACACAAAGCAATTCTAGGGTTTTACTGTCATAGTACCAAGGTGTTTATGTGGTAGGCATGAGAAGGCGGTCTGATTCTTCACCACTGGCCCACCAGGTCCCCCTGCTGAGGAAGGCTTACTACTCTGTTCACATGATTTTTAGGTCTAGTTTACCTGCTTTTTCTGTATCAAACTGACAATACAGAAGTCTCTGTAATACAGTTAATGGAATGACTGCCAAGAGGTCATTCCATATGGTCACATGGCTCTCTCCCTGAGATCCTGCAGCCTCTAGGCTAAGTTTCTAGAAAGCAGGACCGAGATACCCTCTGCTGTCCTTTTCCTATCTTCTCCCCAGAGTAGTTTCAGATAAGAGCCTCTTCTCACTTTATTTATTTTCACTGCCAAAAGATTCCTTTTTCACACTCAAATCCTCTTTCTTTTTCCTTCTTCCCACATCAAGTCTCAAGTATTTTGTTTTTGTTGTTTAGCTGCTAAGTCGTGCCTGACTCTTTGCGACCCCATGGACTGTAACCCTCCAGGTTCCTCTGTTCATGGAATGCTCTAGGTGAGAATACTGGAGTGGGTTGCCATTTCCTTTTCCAGGGTATCTTCCCAACCCAGGGATTGAACCCACCTCTCCAACAATGAAGGACGATTCTTTACTGCTGAACCACCAGGGAAAATATCAAGACAAGTATTCAGACACAGGTTAAGATCAGAAGGAGATAGTGAAGGTCAGGGAAGCTTGATGTGCTGCAGTCCATGGGGTTGCAAAGAGTGGGACATGACTTAAAGAATGAACGACAACAACAAGATTTCAGATTCTCTCCACCTGACTTAATGAACAGTTTCAGGTGTGTGGGTTTGGCAGAAGGAGGTAGATTCTAATGGTGAGGCAGAGGGGCGGCGGGGGAGGGGGGGGTGGNAGATCGGAGAAGGCAGTGGCACCCCACTCCAGTACTCTTGCCTGGAAAATCCCATGGACGGAGGAACCTGTTAGGTTGTAGTCCATGGGGTTGGACACGACTGAGCGACTTCACTTTCACTTTTCACTTTCATGCACTGGAGAAGGAAATGGCAACCCACTCCAGTGTTCTTGCCTGGAGAATCCCAGGGACGCGGGAGCCTGGTGGGCTGCCGTCTCTGGGGTCGCACAGAGTCAGACACGACTGAAGGGACTTAGCAGCAGCAGCAGTTGCAGATGCCCTGGCCCTGTCTTGTGACAGGATGCGCTCTCGGTGATTGTGATTAATCTATGGGTTCCTGCAAAGCAAATCAGTCAATCAACGTCTTGTGATCCCTCAACTTCTCTCTAGGAGGGTAATAGCAATGGTTGAGGCATTTTATTTCTCAGGGCCTCTGTGATGGGTCAGGAGTTTCAGCTCTTAACTGACTCCCCACACCGCCTTTCTCCACCTGCCCAGTGTCATATATTTTAAGCCCTCTTGAAGCCAGTTGGTTAAAGTCACAGGACAATTTGGGGTCATAAATCAAGGTATCAGTTTAAAATAAAAATCATGGTTTAAGATTATATTGGGCTTGCTTTTCCTTTGTTTCTGTACTACCTCACTTTCCTAGTTAGTAATTGTGTGAATCTGCTCTTTGGAACTCAGGGAAGGTTTAGAAGACTGAAACTTTTTATAAACAAGAGGCAGGCAGAGGGCAGGGGGTGGGGTTCTGTCCCAGGAAGGCCCCGAAGGGTCCGGTTACAACAGGACTTGCCTGTACATACAGGTGCATGCGTGGATGTACGCTCGGTCGCTTCAGTTGTGTCCAACTCTTTGTAACTCCATGGACTGTAGCCTGCCAGGCTCCTCTGTCCATGGGATTCTCCAGGCAAGAATACTGGGGTGGGTTGCCATGCCCTCCTCCACAGAAATCTTCCCAACCCAGGGATCAAACTTATGTCTCCTGTATCTCCTATATTGTAGGAGATACCCGCTTTACCCACTGAGCCACCTGGGAAGCCCATATAGTTACATAACCAATAAGAAAGAGTGTGACTTTGAAGGTTGTTGATCTGGTTCCAATCCCAGCCCCACAATTTACTAATTATAGCAAAAGTTAAACATTCACATACTTTTTAGCTAACATGTAACAAAAAACATCCAGAAAAGAAGCAATCAATGGTATATTGTCCAAACCTCTAGCACAATGTAAAATCCCTAAAGTAGGAATCCTTTCTTACTACTTTATTTACCTGTATCAACTGGTTGCCTATTATGAATGCATTTAATTGAAATGCATTGAGAGGATTCAATACTGTGTTTTCCAGGAAACTGTTTTAATAATTCAAGCAATGTTTGTGAAAGGACTTAATAAATTATAAAATACTGCTCAAATGCTTCTGAGAGTTATTAAGCTATGTATTTTTTATTTTTTTATTTTTGTTTTTTGGTCTTCCTGGATTTCACCTTTCTCCACTCTCTAATCAAGCTGCAGCACTGTGTCCGTGCCTTCATGGAGAAATGTGATTCTGCAGGGCTGGAGTTAAGTGGGGTGTCCTAGTAATTGTCTTTGGCTGGTGAGTCTTCTGATGAGTTGTATCTGGTCTGCTTGGTCAGTGTTTGCATGATACTAGTTATTAAACACTAGTAATGAATACCAGTATCATCACTGTGGCTTCAGGAAATGAAACCTAGCTGTATCTCAAGGAGGAAAGGAAAATGGGCTTCCGTGATTACTATTTTTTAAGGAAGAAAGATGAGGCCCAAAGAAGTTTAATTACTTTTTTAGGATCTTACAGCAAGTAAATTGTGGGGCTGGGATTACAATCCAGATCAATCTCCTCCAAAGTCACATCCTTTGCTGTTTATTTCCTGTAGGTGGCACAGTGGTAAAGAATCTGCCTGTGATGTAGGAGACGAGATGCAGGAGACGAGATACAGGAGACATGGGTTCAGTCCGTGGGTTGGGAAAATCACCTGAGGAAATGGTAACCCACTGCAGTATTCTTGCCTGGAAAATCTCATGGACAGAGGCGCCTGTCAGGTTATAGTCCACGGTGTTGCAAGAATGGACACAACTGTGTGGCTGAACACACACATATGCCCATACACTGCCAAGTCCTGTGTTTTTCATTCTTTGGTCAGTTTTATTAAGAAATAACTGACACACATCACTGTATAAATTTTAGGTGTATAGCATGATGATTTGATTTACATAACTTTGGATAATAATCACAGTAATCACAATAATCATCACAATAAGTTTAGTTAACATCCGTCATCTCATGTGTTTTTGTTCTTAGTTGTTGAGTCATATCTGACCATTTGCAACCCCATGGATTTAGCCCACCAGGTTCCTCTGTTCACTAGATTTCCAAGGTGGGAACACTAGAATGAGTTGCCATTTCCTTCTCCAGGGGATCTCCCCAACCCAGGGATCAAACCCACGTCTCCTTCTTTACCACTCCTTCTCAGCCTAGGAATTTACCCAAGTCTCTTTCACCCTTAGCTTTTTTTCCTACACACCACACCACACACATACCATCACCATGCACCTGAAACCACTTCCGTAAGTCATGGATTTTTAACCATCCTACTCTAAATGTATTTATAATTTGTAAGAACTAATTAGCAGGTGCTGTGCATGTATTATATTAACATTCACTTCTTTAAAAAAACAAGTGAAGATAGTATTCTATATTTTATAGGGGAGGAAACTGAAGCTCAGAAAGGTTATATGACCCTGACTTGCTCAGGATCACAGAGCAATGAAGGAGCAGGGCTAGACTGGACTCAAGTTCGGGATCAAGTGTCATGTTCTTGCCACTCTGCCACCAATCAGTCCACACTGACTCCTCTTTTCCAAGGACTCTTGGGGAGACTGAATTGCTGAGCTAGAGACCCTATCAATGACAAAGAAATCAAACATCTTTTTTATGGGGGAGGGGGATAAGACTTGAGGGTAAACATCTACTAGGGACTAGCCCTCATCTTTAGCCTACTCTTAAAACACGCTTCCCCGAATAATTGGTCTTTCTCAGACAGGTGGCTGAGACTTGGCAGTGAAGGACACCCACAGCCATCAAACCAGAAGCAAGGACTGGGGATGCAGGGCTTCGCCCAACTCATCTCTTCTTGTGCTTCTCCTCTGTCTCCTCCACCCTCAGGGAGCATTTTCCTTTCTAGAACTAATGCGAGTGGAGAGAGAGCCTGGCTTGACCACAGACCACAGAAAGGATGGCCATGTTTTACTTTTAGTTGCACCAATATCCTGATGTGGGACCCCCCAGCACCCACTATGTCCCGGTGCATGGGTTCTCCAGGCCTCAAAATGACTGCGGGACATTTGCTTCTCTGCAGCTAGTTACCCTGCAGAGAAATTTGACATAAGGTGTCTGCACATTGAACCTATTGTGGCACTGTTGTCATATGCAGTGACCTTCATAAATGGCTTTGGGAGAGTCACAAGGGAATAACAGAGGTGACTGGTGGGT